ATTTATACTGTTTATTATATAAAAAGCTGCTTCAGAACTTCAACTAAACTAATAACTTTCAGAAATTTAATATTTAGAGCCAAAATCGTCTCTACTCTTGCTATGTTTAATATTTTTACTAAACTTCTGCGCACAACTGTTATAAAATTAAAATATACATTACAAAGTATTTTAATCTTATTCTTGTCTATAATATATTCTTTATTCCAAAATCTTCTGCCTGAAGACTGTATTATACATTTAAACACAAGCTGAGTGATTTTACTTCTTTCTGAAGATACAGGTTCAGAAATATCGCAGCTTAAAAGCAAAAAGATTAGAACGACAAGGGAATGTACCGTAGCCAAGCGAAAGTGATAAATAATGTTTTTGCTGTTTTAGGAATTCGTGTACTGGTAACAAAATTATAACGTACTATGAACTTTTTAAAATTTGTTATGACCACTATTTTCCATTATATAAACCTTTCGGAAACATTTCGGAAACATTATATCGTTTTTCATGACATTTAACGATGTATTTATTTAATTATAGCATAGTTCCCTTTACAATATTGGTCATGGTTTACGGCATTTTTTAAGAATATCCTTATTTTGACTAAAATATTATATCTTTAGTATTTTTGAAGTAATTGTTTAAAAATATAACAATTAACCTTGTACTTATTTAGCACCCGCTGGTCTTGTCATTGACGTTTATTTCATATCATGCGAATGTTTCAGGGAAGCCATGTTTTACTCTTCCTACAGAATTTAAGTAACATTTTTACTAGTAAACAAATCTTTATTGCATTTTAAATAAAATTTGGACCAAATTATGTTTTTTTCCTTTTTTGTTTTAATAATTTGAGTTTCTATTCGAAACAAACACATTTCAAACATTATGGTCAAGATATTCTATATGGATATTTTTCGACATTTCGATCATTTCTTTTACAGTGAAATTTGATTCTTTGCCAACTATTTTCTCATCCAAATGAATTTCGTGACTCACATACGTTCATTACAAAGACTTAACATAATTACACATAAATTAAATGAATATTTTCCGAAAATTCTGTACGTCTCATTTCCGGAAACTTACATGAGTATCCTCATTTTTAATCCTTTAGCGTTTCTTTTCCTCCATACCAAGTAAAATTTTGAGCATGAAATTTTCAGTTTTCACGGAAGTTATTTTCAGAATGATAACTTTGATGTTATCCTGCTTTTATAAACAGTTTTTGTGAAGTACCTTATCGATAAGCTTATGAAGACTTTGAATACCTTACTCAATAGTAACGGGTTTATAATTCCAGCAGAATTCTCTTGCAACGGGAAATTAAAAAATAAGAACAGTGCGAAAAAATATTAAAATAAACTTAACGTACTACCAAGAGAAGGTTTTTACCTCCGACATTAAGAGGAGAAATTTCATTTCTTTACCAGAATGACTTTGAAAGAGTAAAATTTAATCAAAACAAAGCAAAAAATCATACTTTGAAAAGTACCACTGTACTCCTTGAAAAACTGAGGACTGACACGGGTATTGCAGATAAAACTAACTTATTAAAGTATACTTGCGAAGTCCTCTCACATTTCACCTATGGACTATTGTACTTTCGATCTGTTAAAAGAGTTCTTTCTAAGCGCAAACCCACCACGATTGATGAACTCTGGAAAGAATTGGAAGAGGAATGGGAATCAATGCTCGTGGAAATTTTATGAAAAGCCCTTCTATCATGGAAATCACGACGTAGACTTATTGTCCAGGAAAAAGGCTATCAGATCGAAAATTAAAAAACAAAAAGAAGAAAATACTCTTTACATTTTGAACATCAATTAAATGGCCCCGAAATCGTTCTAAAAATGTGTAAACACCCACTGTAGTGGTTTCCTATAACTTCTGATAAATAACCCACTTTAATTAAATGCTACAATCTTAAGATATTTCCCATTTATTCGGAATTAATTTTATATGTATTTTTTAGTGTTGTGTTTTCCAAGATATTAAATTTTTTTTCTATAAAAAGAACAGGAATTCTTGTTGTTTAGGTTCGTATTTAAATTGTGGAGAATTTTGTTTGTTAAGTCATAAGGAACATGATATGTATGACAATTGTTAAATGTATTACAATAAATTTATGCATATGAACAACAGGGGTAATGCATTAAGACTAGGGGCTTATTGCCCTTTTTAACTTCTTCAGCTCATATTTTTAGAAGAAACTGATGAGATTTTCCCTTAAAACAAGAAATTATGCTAATAAAAATCTGTTGTTCAAAACTTAAACAGATTATATCAATGTATTAGAATAATTAAATACTATTACCTTGTTTTTATTACAGTTCACTATTTAATTGAAATTAGTCTTTATTTCTAGGTTACGCTCGATTAAAAGCGTTTAACAAAACCGGATAGATAGACATAAATGAAGTTATATATTATAACAACTTAGTTGTAGTATCTCTTAACCAACAAATGCGAGGAATTGTCTTAAATTGTCAGGTATTTTAAATTATCTATGGCGTGAGGGAAGATGACAGACTGAATGAAATTTTAAATTTTCAAGAAATTCTATATATCTAAAAAATTGGATAACATAAAGCTAAGAGAGTTAAAAAAATCTGAAATGATTCAGATTTTAATATCGCACCAGAAGGTTTGTTAACTTTCTTTATGCTCTCACTGATCATCACAGGTTAACAATCTGCTCTGGAATTCACTCCTGCTAATATTTTATTGTCTTTTTAGCTTTATTATCGCATCGCTTTCTTTGCCCATACGGCATATATAGTTCAATAGCAAAATCAAAAAAATTTTAAAGGCAGCATTGCAGCATATGTTTAGAAAGCCTCACATAATATTAAGTGTGGGCATACATTTTTATAGAGTTTTCAATCTTTTCTCAGTTCTTCATACTAATGCTCAGTTTTCTTAACCAGATGACTCAGAGAACGTTTTTGTCTTTATATTATTAATTTTTCGTGTGCCTGATTTTATTTATTAAATATCACTTTTTCGTACTTAAGCGCTGGTTCAAGGAATCATAAAAACAATTCAAACCTGTTACGTTTATATCTGTGCAAATAAAGCACTAGACGATTTGTTCTAAACCGGTGGTACGCAAGAGAAAAATAGGTGGTACGCAAAGAATCAAAGTATTTTTAACTATTAAATTCAAAAATTAAAACCCCAACTTCCTGATTGAGTTTTGTCTCTAACACTCGTAAATTTATGCGATCTGAGCTTTGTTCAAGAGTGTTGGTGGTAGTAGCACTTTGTAGTGGTGGTACTAAAGGTTTTCAATTTTTGCTTAAATGATACGTGTTAGTCAAAAGGTTGAGAGCCGCTGCACTAGACGAAGAAAAACAAGATATACGCTGAAAGTATTATTTCAGTTATTACGAACATATATAATACGAAACAGCTGTCTCATTTGAAACTTTTACACGATTCATTAAAATCCTTAAATTGTTTCATCATTTTAAAAATCGTTGAAAGTTTCACATAAACTTTGTATTGTTTACGGTTTTTTATTACTTTTGACAGCAAAGTCAAACTGAATGCATAGGTTTACGTTACGAGATAACATTATTAACTCTGATCATACTTTTTAAAGAACTAAGGTACTTGTTTATCAAAATCATGGTTAAAATATACAGAAAAGAGTTTGATTATGAATCAGTGAACTGAAAAAGTTTCTCTATAGCTATTATTTACAGTTGTAATGAATATTCGGTGTATTCATTTGTAACATTGTTCTTACTTTTTCACATTATATAACATTAAAACAGTATCTTGAAACAAGATTTAACCATAGCATTCTAAACTATGAATATATATGCTGTCGACTGCACAGAATATTTATCAGAAATAGCTGAGTTCAACTAGATGTAACTTTCATTGCAATAAAACCAACCGTAAACATAGTCGAACATAAAGTTTTAAACAACCTCTTAAATTTCTCTACAAAGCTGTCGTTCTGCTACTTCTATTTGTCACACTGCCAGGGAAAATGTGCTTGCGTTCAGTTCGGTGATTTGCTTCCCATCAACGAATAGTCACGCAAAATATGTGTCTATTTGTTTGCAGTCACAGAAAAGATTTTACTGTTAAATATCCAACTAGAAATTTCATGGCATTTTGGAACTACTAATGGCATTTTGGAAGCAGTTCAACATAAGACAAGGCACAGAAATGATTAAACTCGGGTGGGAACAAGCGAATTTATGAATAATGAATACCTGCTGGCATTAGCTCTGACTGAAATTGAAGCCAAGGAAGCTCCCTGTATTGAGAATGAAGCAAGGAAGTCCTACAGATTGCGAAAGCAATAGGCGGCGAAGAATGTTCTCATAGAAGAGGAGGAGAAATCGAAGAATTAGAGAAGGACGGCCAATGAACTGAAAAGCGAAGAATTGGATGATCTTATAATACTAGTCGACGATGAAAGCAGCGATAGTGAAGAAGATAAAGAGCCTTTGACGTGCAAGAAGTTAAACGAATTATTAAAAAAAGTACAGGAACTAACTGTCTGTTTTTGTAATAGAGATTGATCCAAATGAAGAAAGAAGACATTTTATGAGAGGTATTGAAAACCTAACATACGTTTAATGAACTTCTTCAGACACTGTTCCAAGCAAAAAACATCACTTATTAATAAAATAATCTTATACTATACCTACGTATTAAGCAGTAATAGAAATCCTCTCAATTATATTTGTTTTATTTTTCCTTTAAATTACAACAATATTTAGATTTGCATAAATTATACATATTTTAATTCGAACTATACTTAACGCGTTGTTTCCGTAAAAAGTTAACTTTGCGGAAAGCGAATTTGCTGCATGCGTCATTAACACATTGCAGTATGTTAATGATGTAAACCGAGCATTCTGCAAGGGTTTACTGTATAATGACATATCTATCAATTTTCGTATATTCAGATAACTTCTTGGTGCATCGCCTTTTATGTAACAGAGTGTATTTATCAAATCATACATAAACATGAATAATAATGACCAGAGGTAAAAATTTAAGTTTATTTTCTGTCTTAATATTTAATAATATGTTTTCTTTTATATTTCTGTTATTGTTTACAACCATATTTATCTAATTTTCTAGTGACATGCTTCAAATCACGATATAGTTCTTCATTTGCCGGAGTCCACAAATAAATAACACTCTTCTTGTCAAGCATGTACCTATAATGCCTAGAAAGAAGTGAAATGCATTAGTAAAAAACATTTAAAAATGCTTAGAAAAAATAAAAATAGCTATGTATCTTACTGTAAGGGATGAAACATTTGAATTCTAACTTTTAAATTTTCGAAAGAGATTTAAGATTCAAAAACTCAAATCTCTGCTCTTTTCATCATTTGAAACTTTCGAATCCTAACCTGAAAACCGTTAACCGTTTTAATTCAAACTCTGGAAAGATAATAAGTTTATTAATGTTCAATGGAAGCATTCATAAACAGAATGTGATTTTCGCCATTTCGGTGAACTTGAGTCCGCATACCAATCAGCTCGTGACGGTTGTGAATAGCAGGAGCTCTCAATTTTTTGGAGAGGATTTAGAATTTCAATTTTAATGTTTATTTAAGCTAACTCGTGAATTAATCTTACCTTCTTTGATTAAAATAAAGTCTAAATAATAATAAAAAAATTGAATATTTACTCAAACACTTTTTATGAAATTTTATTGAAAATGGACTTCAAGATTCAAAAGTTTTAATTATAAACTCTGTAAGACTTTTACCCTTGGTATATCTTTACTCCTTTATATTTTATCCTTACTTCTCGATATAATTGAAAAGTCCATCCGGCATAGCATCGGAAGGTCACACTTGCAAGGTCATTGCTGATTACTTCCTCTTTTAATACTCCGAAAATTTACAAACCGCTGTACAAGGTGACGCCCGAACTAAAAGGTGGTAGACAATAATTGGCCAGCACCAGGGTTCGCGATAGGTTTCTGGTCTTACCAATCTCTCTTTAAGTGGGGAACAATGTAAAATTTTTCTTCTTCCTTACCGTCTTCCTTCCAGGTGTAACTGGAAAACACATTGGCTGGTAATCCAGAATTCCGGAGTTCGAGTCTCGGCAAAAACATTGCCCTTTTTCACGTCTCCTGCTTAGAAAGAAAATGCCTAATGCAGTTAACTTAGATTTTGCTGTCTCATTGTGAATTGCACCTGCATGAATACTTCTCGTGTTAATGTATTAAACACCTTGGTAAGTTTTTAAATTTTATTACGTTTCTGCTTATTTTCTATTTGTAAAATGTAAAACACATTAATATCTACATCATTTCATAAATTTATAACATTAAAAACTAAATAAAAGTTCTTGGTGTTCGTAAGTTAAGTAGCTTGTCAGCAATGTTTTTCAAATTACGGTAAATATAAACATTTTCCAATATATTTATTGAGAAATATCTGTATATAAACAAAGCTGCAAACATCTAATACATAGACATTAAAGATCGAATGTAAATGCATTTTATTGTAATATAAATATTACCATTTTATTTTAGCGTTGTATATGAAACAAGGATGACTTTTACAAGTCCATTTCGGAGAAAATCCCGATACATGCAGACCAGTATGGAAACATTACTTATGAATTCAATTTCAGGAGAATACGATAGACAGAAATCTAAATTCAAATAAATACATAAAACAAAGAGATAAAAAGAGAAGAATGATTTAGTACCCATTTTTAAGAAGTAATGGCCTGTTTTCCTACTGCTATATAAAAAATTCAAAATAAAGTATGTAATTTGATCAAATAGTATAGTTTTTTTCTCAATAATACTGGAATACAATACGAAGAGTGTAGAAAAACGCAGTTACAGGTTCTAGTTACCTAGCTGATTGTAACCATGTAAATTGATCCATTCCGCTTTTTAAAATAAGGTAAGGGTTTATGAAAATAGTGCTGAATCTGCAAAATATGTAAAAAGAAAAACTTCTTTATAGTTTCTATGCAATAAAACACCCATATAATAATATACTATGTTTTGCTGGCTAAAAAGGGCTGCATAACGTCAAAACTTTGTGTGCAAAATTAGCATATATCCATGAACAATTTTACTATCTATACCATTATCCATTATCAGTACAGATCAAGACATCGATGATGATATTTAAGAAAGAGCTATAAAGTAAAATGCCAGATCTCGTAATAAAAAATTTCAATTATTGATAAAAAATATCAGTTTTAATTGTACAGTTAAACTTTAAAGTATTTATTAAATATTTAGAAACTGTCCTTGTAAAAATATAAAACATTCTGTTTAAATTAATTAAAATTGAATGAACGATTTATTAATTGGAATATTTACTATGCAGACAGCATATAAAAGTTATATTTTATATTTACTAAGCTTTTTTACTCATCTCATAGCAATACATTCATAAAATTTTCTTTCTTATTTTGAAAGAGTTTGCAAGTAAAAGTGAATATCCATGAATAATATTGGGTTGGCAACTAAGTAATTGCAGATTTTTTTTAGAAAATCAAAGACAATTTTTTCATGGAACTAAATAACTTTATTCTGTAATGTATTGCCCATTTTGATCAATGACCTTTTGCCATCTTTCAGGCAGCATCATAATCCCACGTTCATAAAACTTATGGTTTTTATTAGCAAAATACTGAATCAGATACGATTTGACATCATCATCATTATTGAAATTTTTACCATTCAAGGAGTTTTGTAAAGATCGAAACAAAAAGTAATCAGATGGTGCAAGGTCAGGACTATATGGTGGATGTGGCAAAACATCCCAACCAAGCTCCAATAATTTTTGCCGAGTGACCAAAGATGTGTGTGGCCTTGCATTGTCATGATGGAATACAACACCTCTTCGATTTGTTAATTCGGGCTGCTTTTCTTCAACTGCATTGTTTAATTTCGTTAGTTGTTCAATGTAGACATCAGAATTGATTGTTCGGTTGGGTGGTAAGAGTTCAAAGTAGACAATTCCTTTGTAATCCCACCAAACTGATAACAAAACCTTCTTTTGATGAATATCAGCTTTTGATGCTGTTTGAGTTGGTTCACCTGGCCTGCTCCCCGATCTTTTCCGCTTGATATTGTTGTAAACAACCCATTTTTCATCGCCAGTTATCAGTCGTTTTAAAAATGGAATCATTTTCATTACGTTTCTTTAGTTCTTTCTTTAGGGAATTTTCATACGCAAATGGCAGCTGTTAATGCGTTGCGTTAAATGCGTTTTCCTTTCATGTTCGTGAGGAACCCATGTATCGAGTTTTTGAACATAGCCAAGTTGTTTTAAAGTGATTTTCCAATGCATGTATGTGATACATGAAGCTTCTCTGCAATCTCACGTGTTGTACTGTGGACGAATCCGAATCGATTATTGCTTTGATTAGGTCGTCATCAACTTCAACTGGACGACCAGAGCGTTTTTCAATCTTTGAGTGAAAAATCACCAGAACGAAATTTGGCAAACCAATTTTGACACTGCCGTTCTTTTAAGGCTTCGTCACCATAAACAACACATAACTTTTTATGAGCTTGCGATGCGTTTTTCCCTTTACGGAAATAAAAAAGCAAAATATGACGAAAACGTTCCTTTTGATTTTCCATTTTTTAACGAATGCCAAACGAAAACTACGCAACCGATCAAAAAACGTTTTTTACTGATTGACAGCTGAATTGCCAACTATCAAATAACAAAATGTGTTTTACATTTGTACTACGTTTGCAACCCTAAAAATTCAACTGAAGCCATCTATGAATGAAATCCGCAATTACTTAGTTGCCAACCCAATATTTAAGGAAATAAAGTGCATACAGTCATCTTTTCTTTAATAGAACGTATAACTGATAAAATGTCAATAAATGATTCCAAAGAATCTTCATCACAGTTGTGAAAAAGAGTTTTTGCTTCAAATATTTACAAATCAAATTTCTCACCACATCCCGTCATGGTCATCTTTGTACCTTTTCCCATCTTGACCCATGATGAGATATTCAGCATCAGGAAGGGGTTCAGAAGTGCTACAGATGTCTCTTAAGAGTAAAGTTCTAGTTTCTCCTTCTATAAGGGCCTCTTTTTCTGTACCTAGAAAAACATTGACACTAATGTTAAGAAGAAGAAAATTTCAGAACATAGATTAAACTGAAATTTTAATTAAGAAGTCTCATTAATAATTATAATGCAATCAGTAGGATCAGAACTAAAACCCCAGCCACTGCATTATAAAATATTCTTTTCATTGTATTATGTTACAAGGCAACATATTTTATAATGAAAATCCAACACCAAAAACATGTAGTAGATCATTTCACACAAAATTGAAAACATGTAGTGGATCATTTCTCCCCAGTCTTTCTGCCACAGAGCTATCTAAACCACCTGTGAGCTAGAAGGATGAACATGGATTGCACTACAAGTCTGATATCAATAGCAATCACTAAACAGTTAAACCATTAAATAAGCAATAGTTTCAAAGATTTTGATCTCACACTGCATCAAATTGCAATAAAATTATATTGGTTTTAAAGAGAAACATTTTCTTTTTCTATAAATATAAGTTTCCTATTCATAAACTTTAAAATTATAGATTCTATATGGTTTCAAATTAATATATTGCTTCAATATTTTATATATTTATATAAATATATAAAATATAATTTTTATATATTTATATAAGTCACTAACATTGTTATAATTGTTAGAATAACAATAACTGTAAGGATTTTGCAATATTTCCAATACTTTCATAAGAGTTTTTGATTAAAATATCTTAAATTTATGATGGATGTATAGAGTAAAATTTCTCCTATTTTTCTATATAATTTTTATCCAAATTTAATTGTCATATTTAACGTTATAGCGTATTTATTGACTTTTTAGTATGTATTCTTAATTTTTAAAATCCAAAGAATTGCAATGGTAACAATACGCATTTGAAGTATTTATTGTACTCCTACAATAAATACTTCAAATGTATAATTTCTACTGAAATAATATTGAGCATTTAATAAAATATTTATTTTAGTATATTATACCACTAGGATTTGGCAACGGAAGAAATATTAATCTTATTTATTTACATTAGAATTATACCTTATTTTCATCGTAAAAGCATTTTCTCCTTAATTATATTATTTATGTAAGAATACTATCAAGGCTTTATCAACTATGATTTATCAAGATTATTTATCACACTCTAATTCAGAACTTTCCACCTCCACGTAGGAATCTTCCATTCAGGTTTCTTCGCTGTCAGGCCCTACACGGGACTATATCAGGAACTAGCAAGAGCAGAATATTATTGCTTCCCTGCTGATGGACAATATAGCCACAAAGTTCTAAAGTTCCAACTCTCTCTTTTCCTCTTTGCTTGTCTCTTGTGCTGCTTTCGGCTACCAAAGTTTAATTTTCTAAATTCGTCCATTGTTTAAAATGTGAGATGTAGAAAATTGGAGAGTGCATAGAGCATCCACAGCTATAATGTTCATTATCGAAAAATAAAATGATGTGTGGAATTTACCGTTATATGTGTTCTTAAGGTGTCCGCCGATAACATCGCGGAGAAAACAACGCAAGGCGAAAACGTCGTGCTACAAAACATCGTGGGAGAAAACATCGCAAAGAACTTAGGCATTTCTGTCCCTGCATCGCTACATGAAGCAACCAACTGGAGACAGCCGGTATACAGCTCGCACCTTTGCAAGCTAGCCGTGGCGACAACGGCAGACGGAACGGAACGGTAAAAATATGTTGATAAATATAAATACTGAATAAATTTATTAATATAAACCGTAAATAGTTTATTAATATACATTTATGAATATACTCCACCTCCAGGGCAACGATAGATGCCTCAAATGTGATCTTATTGGAGATGCGGAACATTTCGTTGAGATATGTACTCTTACCCGAGGGGTGAGGGCAAAATACGGAATAACAGGATTAGATATAACACAAATGAAATATGATAAATTATTGAAATTTTCACGAGATGTTATGACTGTGATAAATAAAAATAAAAGTATTGTGGCCATTAGTAGTTAGGAGAGAATTAAAATTGGATGTTATGAGTTTTTAAAAGAGATTTTAAAAGATTTTGACCTCACACTGCATCAAATTGCAATAAAATTATATTGGTTTTAAAGAGAAACATTTTCTTTTTCTAAAAATATAAGTTTCCTATTCATAAACTTTAAAATTATAGATTCTATATGGTTTCGAATTAATATATTGCTTCAATATAAATTTTATATATTTATGAGTCACTAACATTGTTATAATTGTTAAAATAACAATAAAACCATTGAACCATTTGAACTTTTTTTTTTTTTTTAGTTTGTTATGTTTCATTTTTCTATCTTTTTTGTTGCTCGGGGCCCGGGCCTGGTTTCGCGGGAGCATTTGATATTTTATGGCTTTAAAAATTAAGAATTGTCTGTATTTTTTTAAGATTAAGAATTTTAAAATTAAGAATTGTGTTTCTTTTTGGGGCACGGTTGGCTGGGTGGCTGCCTCGTTTTGTGTTAGACGGGCCTTCTCCTTTGTGGCCTTATGGCTGATATGAATCGGCTAGGGGGGTCGGGGCTGCACCCACAACAACATTTATGAATATATGTACTATAAAATGAGTTTATTAATATAAACGCTTATTCAAATTAATTGATGTTTTTTTTCTTTAGAATTTACCAATAAAAACACAGCAAAAAATTTTGGATTTCAAGGAAATTGATTATTTTTTATCAAAATTTTTTATTTTCAAAACCCAAATATGATAAATATTCAGGTGTTTGGGAATTTATCATAGATTTTTAAATAATTGCATAAAGACATCGACTCCTGCATAATATGTATTTCGTCTGAGATTCGAGAGTTTGTTTTGAAGTGTTCAGATTTGAAATTCTGATAGCATTCAGTAAATTAATAATAATCAAATGATAAACCATGATCTATAAATATTAAGAAAAATGATGCATAGATACACATACACGGAACTTACCTTCCTTAATCACTTTTGTTATTATAAACTTAATATTTAAGAATATTCCATCTTTCGTCGCACGTTCTTGTAATCTGCCTCTCCATACTGAAACATATCGATAGATATATTGTAGCACTGCACTTTAATACAATTGAAATGATATATTACTATCACACTAAAGGAAATTCAAAATAAGTATAATAATTATTGTAAATTTAAAAATAAGCATCTACCTCTTTATAGCTAGAACTTGTTATTAAACAATTTTTCCCAACCTATCAGGAAACTTTAAACACCGTCTTTCATTAAATGAAGAAGTACATTATTTTCATTTAAACGAGAGCTGAAACTATAATTTGTTTTATCATTTCTTCAAGAAAAATGCGACTCCTTGAAGAATGCGAGAGAACAAGAATGACCAGCCATCCTGCAGTTACACTGCAGGATGGCTGGTTCATGTGCTAGAAGAAAACTATTAAAGCAGAAGCACAAACTTTGGCGTTCAGTCAGTGTCGAATTAAGACTTTAAAATGGGTTAAACACTTAAAAGATTTGGGCTTTCCTATGTCAATTTCTCTCTGGATGTTGGTTTAATTGAACCATACATTCCATGGTAGAACGATAATGGGAAACTTTTGTGGCATCTCTTTTCTTTGATGCGAGCGCGTGCTTATTTTGCCTAATGTTCATGTAGCTCTGCATATACAGTACCAGCGGGACTTGGTACGAAGGAAAATTATAAACCTCTCTAATGTGGTCCAGTGAAGTTGGTAGTCTTAGAGAGGTGAAATTCAGTACTATTGTCTGTTTGTACTCCCAGAAATACTGATCACTTTCAGAAGTGTCATCTTACGGACGTGTGGATACTTATAAAATAATTCAACTCTGCTCTGTTAAAAGCTGTCATCAGATGTGGTAGCGAAATTAGCAATAATAAATAAGCATTAGCTAATGGTTCTTTGCCATTAGCTAATAAAGAGAGAGAGAGAGAGAGAGAGAGAGAGAAAGGAAATTCTTTCTGCTGTGCCTCGCGAGACACATCCGAGTCAGAATAAGAAGATTGCGATGTGCGTGTTGTGTGTCCAAAAAAAAAAAAAAAAAAAAAAAAAAATAAACAGCATTTTATGATTTTAACAGTCAGCAGTCCCGTATACTAAGTGCATTGAATAAAAATCTGTTGCCAAAACTACATTTCTAAAATAATGAAACTATTCAAAATGTTGCGATTTCATCAAAAAAGACAAAATAAAAAAAAATCTGATTCGAATTTTGAAAACCTCGCTTCGAGGTGCACTGGCTATTGTCTAGATGTACCTATGTACCAAATTTTGTAGCCCTGTGTCTATTAGCTTACGCGCAGCACGAACGAAAGACACACACAGACTGACTCTCTTTTATTATATGTAGAGATTAGAATGATGAAGATTCTTTCAGAAGGGTACACATTATCGGAAAAGTCTACAAAAGTAGGAAAAAATCGGCCATTCGCGTCTTTCTGTGTGCCCTTCTACGCATTTAAAAAGTAGGAGAAAAATCCAAGATGACAGCTATGATGCTAAGATTCTCAACCAGAAATGCTTTCTACGCGAAATGTCTACACGATATTTTGTTCAGTCTCTATTATGTATTTTCTCCCTCCATTCTGCATGCCTTCATGGTGCAACAGTAGCACACTCGGCGCATATTTGAGAGATCCAGATTCGAATCTTGGTGAGGGCATTGTATATTTTTCAGGTACTCCTGCTTCAAAGTAACTTGTAGAGTCTGTGGTGTAGTGGCGAAAACCGCTACGCAAACCCTGGGTTGTGGTTGAAATTGAAATCAGCTTCAAACTCAAGTTAATAAGACGATAACCTTAACAGTTGCATATCTTGACAGTATGGGACTTTGCTATATTCAGTCCCATAATTTCAGAATTCTGTTAGAGGAAAAATACTCTAACGCATTATGATCGTTCTTAGCAGGCCAACATGCCCATAGCTCTAAACAGGAAAGTTTTTTCTCTTCTCAGAAAACCATATTATATATCTCCCTGTGTTTACTTGCGCTGAACTCCAAGGGGGGGGAGATTCTTTCATTCATACTTTACAAAGTGTGAAACCCTGATGAAAAGACTTCTTTTACCTCTTTGTCCACTAAAGCGACCTTCGAGGCTGCAACCGTAATCGTTAAGAAAGGCACAGGATTTCAACTCGGATATGAAAACTATTGCACTCTGAAAACTCATTCTAGACAAAGAACCTTTATGCCACCTTAGCACAAGTCATTATATTATTTTGAACACGAGACATGAAAAATGAGCATTGTCCTCGCTGGGACTCGAACCTGGATAGTAGTTAAATACAAAATAATGTGTAATACAAAATGTTCATGCGCCTCACTTCGGTGTTCAAAAAAACATAGTTTGTGAAAACAAAGTATTACTGGAGAAGTATGTACAGTGATACCAAAAGTTATGTAGAGAATTGTTCAGATTGCTTACAGAATAAATCAAAACCACAAAACACTATTTTACGTTTAATTCCTAAGAAAGATCTTGCACCTGGGGAGATGATAGCTATAGAAATAGCTGGCAAACTGCCAAGATTCACAGATAATAAGTTTTATGTGTTCACTATTCCGGGTGTTTGGAAACAGTTCCATCAGACAACGGTTCATAATTTTGCTCTAAAGAATTTAATCAGTTTTTAAAATCGCTAAATATAGAGCACAGAAAGAGTTCGATTTATTACCCGCAAGCAAATGACTGAAAGAGTACACAGAGTGATGAAAGAATCTATTGCAGCAATTTTAAAAAAAAAGTTTGAGTGGCCAAAAAGGGTAATAATGATTAAACTGTATTACAATAATGCAAAACACTCAGTAACTCAATTTTCGCCAACAGCGCTCTTTTTTGTTAGAACGTTAAACACTCCAAGAAATAACAACGATTCTCTTAAACTAGCAGAAGATTTCCATCATTACTCCAAAATACTAAAGGACCAATTAAGTAACAATACGGAACAAGAAAAATTGAATGAAGACGAGTATTTTAATCATACAAAAAATATTTAAGAGGAAGAAAAATTCTGTAATTAGGGGGTAAAATTTTTATGCAAAAGGGTTTAATAACAATAAGGTTTTACAACCAAAACACGTGGGACTATATGAGATTATTAAGAAATTACTAATTGATAATTATACAACACAATTAGGTAACAAAACAATTAAAGTCCCCGTAAGTAAGTTGTTTTTGCAAAAACCTTCATGAATTGGTTCTGATAAGAATTTAAAAAAAATTAGGTTCAAGAAATTCATTCGGGTTTGATTTAAAATGAAAAAATAAAATTAAATTTCACTATATTCATGATGAGTACAAAATGGGCAATTCAATAAGGATTATAGGTGGCAAATGCTCTGTTTTAAGTGTATTAAAGCGCTAATTCCACAGTTTTGGTAGAGTTGGCTGGTCCATATACCAAAAGAATTGAGTTTTGCTACACGTAATCTATTAATTGGGCTATGTAAAAGATTTGTATACAGATATGTAAGAAAAAAAAAAGATTTTAAGTCTCCCTATGAAAATATAATGAATCTAATAATCTTGAATTAATAGAAATATAAGGAAAATCTGAATGTAAAATTTGTGATCAAAAGGTAAAACCAAATGTAATATAAAATGAATTGTTTGTAGTGCATAAAAGTGAAAAATGTGAAAATAAATAAAGTTGAAATAAAAATTGAAATCTTTTACATTACTTTGAAAATAAAGTTGTAACCAGTAATATCCATTTGTATGTTGCATATTACACATAAAAATGTTATATTGTACCAAGTAGCTATTTGATTGCTATATCATGTGTATGATATAAATTGTATATATCAGCTAAAAAAATTTTATTCTGAATCACATGTCTAGTAGCTGTACTTTTGTAAACTGCGAAATTAATGAATATGTCAAAATAGTATAAAAATTAATGTTATAGTGCAGCGGTTCTCAATCTTTAGACTAACGCGGACTATCTAAACAAATACTGAAAAGCATTAGTACCACAACTACATTTTACAATGATTATTTTTCAATTTTTATCAATAGAAATATTTAAAAAATATATTTTGCCATTTGCATAATATATTGACTATTTGTATTAAATATACACACATAAAAAATATTACATTAAAAATTTGTTACCATTTTAATTGTCAATTAACTTTAATTTTAAAATTTAGTGCGAAATTTAGGCCTGTTTAAGAGAGACCAAATTCTCATTGTCTGACCTTATTTCACTTAGTTTTAACAGTAAATTAGGATCCACTTTTAATTTTGTTCTTTTTTTTATTTTTCAAATATAACATGGAAGAAAATACTCTTTCATACAAATAGGTTGTCCAAGAAGGCAATAAATATTTAATAGCATTATTTGAAATGCATTTGATAGCATTATTTGAATTCTTTTTTTCGGTTTAGCCAAAATTGTGTTATTTTCTGAAATCTTCAGTTGGAGTTCGATCACAGGAAATTTCTATCTTGTTCTTTTTCTTCGCAAGATAAAATTTCAGGTATATTTGAACAAAATGGATTTCTAATCCAATTTTCTTTTTCACAATTCTCACGAAAATACACGTTGAAATTATTTATCAATGAAAAACAATGATTTTTAACGTCGGATGTTAATTATTCTTATTTTTCAAATTAATTTCGGTTACAGAATTTTCTAAAAATGGTAAAAAGCTTAAAATATTATTATCCAATTATTTGATTATTAGCTCGAGATTTTTTATCATTGCATTTATTTTATCTCTAATGGTAAACAATTAACAGTATTCTTAAAGTCCTAAATTTAATTCATTTAACTTTCCAAAAATATCAGTTAAATGTGCTAAATGCGCCAACCATAATTCACTAAATAAACAATTTTGCAATTCAAATTTTGAATCACAGAGGAAAATTTGAATTTCTGATCTAAGTTAAAAACGATTTAAAACTTTGCCTGTGGATAACCACCTTATTTCGGAATGTAATAAAAGCCTTTCATGTTCACTATTCGCCTCTTGGTATAAAACCGTAAATAATCTTGAATTTTAAAGTTCGGCAATTTTCAAGCTGCTCGATGAATGGAGCAGTG